AACAACCGCAACAACTAAAGAAAACTCTTTTGAACAACCGTTGCATTAAAAAAAAAATTAACGACATGCTTGGACAAAGAGAAGGATTTAATGACAGAAAATCTAAATTTTTAAAAAGAAGGAAGAAAAATCAAGAACAACAAAAATTAATTAACCTTAATAATAAAACAACCGTGATAATAAACCACTTTCGTTTTTGAACGACCGTTGTCAATCTTGTACATTATTCGATAATACAGTAATTTTTGTGCTGATAAAGCAGTAGGAAGTAGCAAATGCTTGGTTAATTTTAACCGCAGAAAAGTTTGCGTTGTTATTCGACTGTTGTTGAGTAATTTGTCTGTTTGGGCGAGTGTCGTAATGATTTCAACCAGTTCGGTATATCAGGGTTCAATTATGTCTTTCCAGTTGACAGGGAAAATCTCCGTTAATTTGGCTATGTCGATAAACGAGAATTTGGCACAAGTTTGTTATCGCTACTTTCTTTAATTCTAAAACGGCATTTCGACAACGTTATCCTTTCTCCAGGAATAGGTTTGAAAATTTGTTTCCAATTGTTGAAATTTGTCAAAATGGTGATTAATCCGATGTGTTAAACGAGAAATATCTCGTTGTGCTTGATAAGACCGTTCTTTCTTTGCACATGTGCCAACTGGGGACAAGGGCATCTTTAACTGTTAAATCTACACATTACCAAAACTCGAGAACCTGAACTTTTGTTGGTATAATGTACACTCATTTGATTAAAACAGATAAACCAAAAGCGACAAAGTTCCACACACTCCCAGACACACGTGGTTGTCTTAAAAATTCGAAAAATTAAGAGGAAAATGAGTGAATCACCTTCCTGTTTGTAAAAAAAAAAGAAGCTTGCTGGCTCATTAAAACAAAAATGTATTTCATCTTGAACAAAAGAGGAGCTCCAGAATAACTTTTACTAGCTGTACAATTTATGAGGCGTTAATTCAACTTGTTTTTTTTCCTTTAAAAATGTATTTTCGCTTCTCTTAAATTTATAAATATGTAAAAATGCCAGACGCGGCGTGTTCAAATATTTGCATTTTTCGCCTTTGGCCCTGCATCGAAAAGTAAAGAAGGAAAGTAAAATACTAAAAGTTAAATTAACGTTTCCTAACAAAAGATTATCTGTAATCCCGGCTTAACTCAGATCGAGACAGTCCTATCTGGCCGGCAGTCTAGGTATATAGACCAGCCGTAATCTGATCTTTGTTATTGTCAGCTCTCGCCAATAAAATTTAAATTAAATGAAAAAAAAGGTTTCTATCTTCTAGGTAGATAGAAAAAGAGAGAGAGGGAGTGAGAGAGGGGGTAGAGAAGACAGACAGGCAGACAGACCGAAAGAGAGTTAATAAATGAATATTATTTTATTTAAAAAATCATGCAAGTTGAGGTCGCGAACGACCTCTTTTACGATTAACGAGCAGACGGAGATAGATAGAAACAAAGACAGATAGATAGAGATAGGTAGATAGATAGATAGAGAGAGAGAGAGAAAGAGAGAGAGAGAGAGAGAGAGAGCGAGAGAGATTTAAAAATATATTTTGAGGATTTAATTTTTAATTGAACAAGAAACACATGTTAACTTCTGGGTTGTTTAAATATTATTATAATTTTTACCCAAATAATGTCTAGATGTTTTTATTACATCAATATTATTGGTATTTGCTTTTCGGCTTCATGACATGAGTCGTCTTCAGTGTTAATTATATTTGTATAACCTATAAAAAAATATTTTTATTTACGTTCTAGTATTAAAATATATTATTTTGGTAAAAGTAACCGAACATACCAGTGGACTTCCCAACAATTTGTAACCTTTTATCCATTTATCTCTCTAAGGTAGCAATCTTATCAATTATGACCTCATTACGTTTTGTTTATAGTTTTAATATTACTACGTTGTACACAGTTTTTTTAACTTATTGCAAATTAATATTATTATAGTTATTTATGTATGCTTTTTCAAATCATTTTAATCTTGGCTATATTTTTTTCTTTTAAAATTCATTTTACATTTTTACAATTTATATCATGTTTGTCGTTGGGAAAGACGTGTGCCATTGTCATTCTTTTTTATGCTATTATGATGTTGGTATAAACTGTTTTTTAACAATTGAACAGTTTTTCCTATATATGAACATTGAATACAGTATATTATTACATTTTATCTTTAATTTTTTGTAAAAGTGTATCGATATTTTATTTTTTATATACTGAAGTATTATTACAATGTTAATCTATTGTTGTTTTTTCTTTTTTAAGGATTGTTAATTTTTTTATTCTGTTATGCCTTATACATAAATCACCATAAATCAAATTTTATAAAAATTGTCAACATAGTACAATGGAAGAAAAGTCAACTATGATAGTAAACTGTATAATAGAACGATACACCAGACAATAAATTACAAACATAAATAGACTTGTACGAAAATTTTACCTAAATAGACTTGTACGAAAATTTTACCTGAACGTCACCGACAAACTTTGAGTCTTTTTTTTTTATAGCTAGGTCAAAAGTTGGAAAGCAGAACTCATTAAGTAGAGAAAATAGGCTTGTTTCAAAGAAATACTAGTAATTATTCTGTGTTTATTCATCGGTGATTCTTTCGTTAGTTTCCGATATATTTTTCTCTAGTTCCGTATGTATGTGAAGCTATCGGGGAAGGAGTGAACAAAATTATATACAGAACTATCAAGTATTCTGTATAACTCTTATACTGAATTAGAAAACTGATGTTTATTTGATATCAAGTGATGAATCTGACGTATTTTCACATCTATTTTTGCAAGTGTCCTATGAAAAAATAGTTTTTTGAACGTATAACCCGACAAAGGACCTACATGATCATACTGTAGGTCTTGATTTGTAAAAAACGACCAGCAAAATTTATTTTTGATTTATTTAGATTAAAGAAAATGACATTATCTACGTATTTATCGTGGAAGGAGTGAACGAAAATATACATATGAGAAAATTCGGTTACGCAGTTTTGTCCAGACGTGCTAGGCGTTTATACAACACCACTGCGCAACATGACTTTTATTTCTGTAAAACAGACAAAAGATTGATACTTTTTTATGTCACGTTAAGATTTTTCGATGATGCGGTTTAGGTGTGGCGTCTAAATATGCGGCGTTACGCTATGTTATTCGTGTTTTAGTTGAGTTTAAACACAGAAAAAAATTTGGCGAACATATTAAGTGGGTGATGGTTAGAATTTTTTTTTTTAATTTTCTTTTTCGTAGTCGTGGGCCAACAGGTTGAAATAATATCGAGGTCCTGGGAGAAAGAGAGGAAAGAGAGGAAGGGAGAGGGATCATAAGGGAAGAAGGTATGCGAGGTTAAAAGTCAGGGTAAAAGTAGTGGGGATCCGGGCCGCCGGATTGGTCGGCGTGTTTCGGCTCCGTTCGCCCGTCCCCGTCCCGGCCGGGATTGCGTGGGAGAGAAGGGAAACGGATTTCAGTCTGCCATGGTCTCTAGTGCAGCAGATATGTATCCGTCTGCGTGTTTGGACAGCTACTCGTACAGGCTCTGGAGCCTCGCTAATTTCTGGTCATGCCAAGGTAGGCGGAAAATCAAGTGAATCATTCATTTTTCTAGCCAATTAGTATATAAAAGTCGTACTTCGGGTATTTGAATTTGTTCAACAGGTGCGTCACCTAGCCGGGTAGTTTGTTTACGTGTCAAGTGATTAACCGATGTCCGTTATTCGACGGTTCGAAGGTGAAACGGTGAAAAAGTGCATATGAATCATGGGAGGTATTACTCATAGTGCAAACAATAGAGGGCACATTATGCCGATAAAGGGCGATCGAAAGGGGGAGGCCTCCCCTTGTCGAAGATAAACTGGTCAGATTTTAAAAGAGAAAAAAATCGGTTTATTCTACCTGACCAGGTGTGCTCGGACGCGTTTTCGGTTTAGCATAACCGCAGCGCCGTTTTTCCCCTCGGTGACGCAACAGCACGTGTGTACAAACATGAGCTTAGATTGGTGTCAACAAAACGGACCTCAAAGCAATTGACTCCGCTGATTGACCCGTCTTGGGAACTACCCGCACTACAGTTTTTAAACTGGCTCTAATATGTTCTCATGCAGAAGGTCGGAGCGCTCGTTGACCCGGTTAACTAGACGGCATAAATTCATGCTGGACGAATCGAAGAGGGGGCGTCCCGTGGGAGTGTTTTCGGCCCATCTCAGGTGGGCTTACCTGCGCCTGACAGGTGTGCGCTGGAGGCGTGGTCCTCACCGTTACAAAATGGCGCCTCGCCAACCCCGCCCTAAGCCCCGGGACTTTATCCGTCTGGTACACCTTGCATACACTCTTTCCGTAAAAAGTTCCTCACGGTGTGAAAAACGGCCGAGGACGTCTGACACCGAACCCAGACTGGATTTAACCCGAGACGATCCGTGAGTTTCGAAGGGAGGCCAGGTATTGGCGACTAGGCAGCAATTTCCATAACAATAGAGAAGGTATTGAACCCACGACGCCATATGTGTACTCCCTGAGGCTTTATCAACTTATATACCTCCCTTTTGTACAGCTTGATTTACGCGCTGAGCTTACAAACTCCCTTTTTTTGTCCGGCCTCTCAAATAGACCTAAAAAAACTTTTCCCTAACTGAATATCCTACACACAAGACATGTTCTATACGCTTTGACAATAAAACGCCAGTTTTTCCTACTCAGCATCAGTAAACAAGACCGTAAAAATATCTCGATATTATTTAAAACAACGATAACGGGTTGACAATTAAAAGGATTTATAAGTGTGAGACTGTCGTAAATAATAGTCCATTTACAAAAGAGTCATTATGTTAACAAGGTATTGAATTACCGCTTAAAGGAAAGAATAGGAGGAGAGATCCATCTCGTGGTAATTTATACAGCTTGTTACTCGGTGGTAATGAAGCGCCCCCTCTGCCTCCGCACCGATCGTGTCCCGTCTAAACGATGTCTTTTTTACAATGTTACAGTGCCTTTGAGTGGAGGAGTTAAAGAGGAAGAAGGGCAGACGAGAGTTGAAGGATCACCGCAGTTTTCCTGCATACATTGCGCTGCACCTTTCCCCACCAGGGACCAACTTGACAAACACGAACTTCTGCATTCGCCAAACGCTCAAGTCGTAAGTCTTCCTCATTTACAAACGCTTCTTTCAAAACAACTTTCTGCATGTTTTTGCTTTTTTAAAATCTTTATTTTCAAAATCTGGGTAAAAAATAACGCAAATAACTAATTATTACGACAATGAACAATTTTTCTGTTTATCCCAGCAGTTTTGGTCTGACAGATCTCACCATCTTCAGTGGTGTTAAGTAAATAATATCCAACCGAAAACAACGAGGATAGGCAGACCGAAAACTACCAAAATACATATTTTACACGATTATTTAAATTAAATATAATTAACTAAATTATAAAACTTCCAAGATACGAACACCTGTTTTTCTCATTTTTTTTTTGGTTTTTTCCTAACAAGAGATTATAACGGTAATTAGCCTTTAAAGGTTGTGCGTACAACAGGGAAATTTCGATCCGTACAAAGGTGTTAAATTATAATGTTATATAAATCGTACGTGACGAACGAAACGTAAGGAAAGTCGCGCTACGTGTCAAAGATTTGGCAAATTCGTGACGGTAAAGGTCAAGGGAGTTGGACAAAACCTTAAAAAACAGAAAAAGAATCGAAGTATTACGTGTCCGGCAGGATGTAAACCGCGCCGGAACAAATACGGCAACGGATGGCGTAGGTGCACATATAAGGGGATCGCGTGAAAAAACAAAACCGATCCGAAAAGATTTCGATCGAGGTTTCCGTCGGGCTCGTGTAAAATTCAAATTTTGAACTTTTTACGCGACGGCGGTTTGTTTTCATGACGAGTGAGCAAGTCAGACTTTCGGCAACTTGTTGATAAAAAAATATAAAATTTAGGATGTATTACGTCTGGGGAGCTAAAAATTGGTCAAAATTAAGATGATTGTGGTCTGTCTATTTGATCGAATGGTTTTTTTTTTTTAATACGGAAGAGTTCAAAAACAGGCTAATCTAATCGAGTACGATCAAGCTGCAATAAATAATTATCAAAATGAATTAAAACGGTGAAGTTTCTACTTATCTTCAAGTTTCAAATAAAGCTAGCCTAGTTAAATTATTATTAACAAAACGTTTTCACAAAAATGATCGGTACCGACCAAATTTGGAGCTTATCACCCCGCACAACACGAAGAAATCTCATTAACCGAAATGAAAAGAACTAAAATTCTCTAGCCAAAGGGTTCAACAATCAAATACATTACATTTTAAAAACGAAAAAAAAAATAACGCTATATTTTCATATCGGTTTACTATGTACTTAGCGTTTTAAAATACACATTGAAAAAAATTACGAACGTGCATCGAAGAGATTTGTCATTTATTAAAAAACATTTAAAATTTAACCAACAATGACTTAATATTGTAAAAGCATATTTGAAAAAGAATCGGCAATGTTTTATGATGATCATTTTTGTGAAAAAGACATAACGGTACTCAAATACACATTAAAAATCATTGCAATGGAAGAATTTTAATTTTTACTTTTTGTAACGCTAAATTAAAACAAAAATTTAAAACAAAATGGAAATTTAAAACAAAATGGCCAAACTAAAAAGTTAAAAGTTCTTTTTATTAAACCATGAATAACACTGACAATATTTTATGATGTAAAAACTTAAAAAACCTGAAAAACCTATTAAAAAGCCTAAAAACTAAACCTAAAAAAAAACCTAAAACTAACCTTCCATCGTTGGTTACTATATAATTTGGTTTTTTGAAAAAATTTAACCAAAGAATTACGGACTTTTCTCGAGCATCAAAAAGATTTGTCGTTTATTTCAAATTTATACGATACATGTCTTAATATTAGAAATAGGTTATTAAAAAAAATGACTTGGTATCTTTCACGATCATTTATGTGAAAAAAAATATAACGGTACTCCAATATGCCTTAAAAATCATTCAAATAGAGAAATTAGAATTTTTACTTTTTGTAACACTAATTTTGGAAGGGTAAATACGAGTAGAAATGAAATAATAAAACTTCCATCAGAAAGATAGCTAGGCCTCCTACGGGACAGTCAATTCTTTTTGATCTAAAAAAATAAAATAAAATAAACTCGAAGTGAAAACGCGAACGAAAATTTAAAAAAGAACACCCAAAAGTAAAAATTTCTTTTTATTAAACCATCTATAAAATTGGCAATATTTTATTATTTAAAAATGGAAAAATAAAACTCAATTTCCATAGATTTTTTCTATGTAATTAGGATTTAAAAGTAACATTTAAACCAAAGAATTACGAATTATCTTTTATTATTATTATTATTATTAATTNTTTTTTTTTTTTTTTTTTTTTGAGATGACCTATTATCCCACCTCAAGAACGAAAATCATAAGTTAAACATTTATCTTAAAAATAATTGTCTAACCAGAAAGGTCACCAGTTAAAATATATTATTTTTGTTAAACAATCTATAAAGTTACAATATTTTATTATTATTAGTTGAGAAAAAAATATTACTGTATTCTAGATATATATTTCTATTATTAGAAACCTTAAACTATCTATAAAATTGACGATATTTTATTATTATAAACTGAAAAATAAAACCAAATGTCCATAGATGTTTTCTGTGTAATTAGGTTTTAAAAGTAACATTTAAACCAAAGAATTACGGATTTTTACCATGCATCAAAAAGATTTGCCATTTATTGCAAATTATTTCAAATTTATCCTATACATGACAGGTTATTAAAATATATAACGATCTCAAATGTACTTAAAAACCAATCAAATAGAGCAATTAGAAATTTTCTTTTTTGTAACACTAATGCAAAATTGAAAAATGATTTAACCAAAAAGTCCAGGAATTAAAATGTTTTTAAATTAAACATATAAAACTGACAACTTTTTATGGCCGCAAAAACTGCGAGGAAAAAAGATGAAACTACATTTCCATGTTTACTATGAACTTTGGGTTTTAAATTAATATTTGAACCAAAGAATTTCCTAAGAACATTTTTAGCATAGAAGAAGTTCGTCGTTTATTTGAAAGTACTTCAAATTTACCCAATACATGACTTAATATTGAAAAAGTCATATTGTAAAAAGGATTATTTTACAATATTTCATTTATTTGAAGAAGAAAAAATATAACGGTACTCAAATATACCTTAAAATTCATTTAGATAGGGAAATTAAAATTTTTACTTTTTGTAACACTGGAAACTTTTAAAAATAACAGTCTAACCAAAAAGTCCAATAGTTTAGTTAAAATACATTTTTTTTGTTAAACAATCTATAAAGAGATTAGAAAAGTATTACTATATTCTAGAGATATATTACTATTATTGAAAATAATAAAAATAAATTGTCTAGCCAAACTCCGACGCGATTTCTAGACGCTTTCATTAAAAAAAAGCATACAGATAGGAGATAGTTGTTTTGACTAAGAAGTTAACAATATTCCGTATCTTTCTTTCCGTTTTTAAGGGGAAAACGTCTTAATATTTCAAATTCATACGGGAAATAAATGGAACGCGCCTAATCCTCTAAGGCGTTCCGTCTAACTGAATAGGAGATCGTCTCAATAATCTAATTTGACCCAATTAGCTTTAATATTTAGACGGATTAACCTTTGATCCGCGTGTTTAAAAATAAATCTAGCCCGCTTATCACAATGACTAACCGTTTGAAATCCTTCCTCGAACCTTTGGTTCAAAACGTAATAGGAGACACATTCCCCCTAAGGAAGAGGAATTCGTGATAACGATTTTTTTTTTCTGTAAAAAGAGCAATTTCAACACTGTTTTGCCGTCTTGTTACGAAATTTGCTGTATTTTTTTTATTTCCTTTAATAACTTGTTAAACTATTATATATAATTTTTAGATTAATTTAGGAAGGTGTTGTAAATACCATCTCAAATTCGGCTTACAGTTCAATACAGTACAATATATATCGTAACAAAATGGTTTTTAAAAAAAGAATTATTTTATAACTTAAATATCCTCCTATTTTTGTAATTTACCTGTAATAAACCTCGGGATAAAAGTTGAGAATTAACTGAAATCCATGCGAGTAAGATAACGTTGTTTAAACATTTTTATCTTATGTTTTGGTTGAAATGAAAAAGTTAATACCACGGGCGGGATTCGAACCCACGACCTTCGGCTAAATACGCTCCTGCTTTAACCACTTGAGCTACCGTGTCCATCTCGAGCTAAATATAATGTATTGTTTAAATATTTTTCCTTATTTACTTAAATTTACAAGATATACATAGTTTTTAATATTATATTATCTAATTGCTTCTTTTTTTCGTGAGATCTTTATTATCGATAAAAATCAAAATATAAATAATTTTTTTATGGTTTAAAATACTAAACGATTTTCTCATTGTTTGTAACTGTTCAGGTTATTTTCAAAAATTAAATCAATTTTATTGACCAAAACCAGTTTTTTTTCGTTTTGGCTCGAAATTAAGGAAAAAATTATCATCCCACAAAGGTTATTTTGCCTGTTTGTCATCTGTATTGGTCTGCTGACTAGATTTTTTAATATTATCGTTACGAGCTAGCTTGTTTGCAAAATACACGCTAAGTGGTACCTAAAACAATCAGTAATGAGGCGATAAAAATCGAAATGGTAAAAGAGAAAGAAAATAAAAACGCAGCCTTTTTAGTTCGAACTAGGTCGTAATATAGAAGAAATCCGTAGTCGGGCGGGCCAAATTATGACACATTAAAAAGGCCCACTTTCTTTGACCGTATATGAAATCCAATCCAGCAAGGAGTGTTCGTTTATGGAGGACAATTAATTGTCCTTCGTATAAGGCGAGAAATAAGAAACGGGCACCGCGGGTCAACGTTTCCTTTATCGTAAATCTTCGCCTAATCAGAGCGTGATTGGGCGGACCCAATTAGCCGAGCGGTGTTACACAGTGTTGTTATAAGGCCTAAGCGTTTTAAAAACTGCGGATGCATAGAATTTTTTCTAATGACATTATTTAAATACTACCTGTAATCATCATATGAACCGGCATTGGGTCACTCTTCAGTCGCGGATTTGTTGAACTATCCAAATGAG